CCTCTGGGTCCACGAGAGTGTCTTTTTGAGTTGCTCTTTGATGCACAGATAAGGCAGTGTGACCGCCGGGCTTCAATTAACCGTTCTCGAGCGGTTTTTGCCTTGCAGGTAGATGTCAAACACCTGTTGGGATCTTGTCGGTGTTGGAGTAGCTCTCGTCTCTCCATGTCCCCAACCCTGTTCTCACCTGCCACAGCTTGATGTTCCTCGGTGTAAGGGGTCGGTTTGCAGGATACTCCGTGGCCTAGGATCCTTCGGCGGTCACTTCAGGGCTCTGCCATCCCTACACCCTGGCCTCACGCCACCTTCAGTGCGTCCCTCATCTGCAGGTCTTGTTCTCCAGCCATGGGGTGACACCGCCTGGCCTGCCCTTAAGCGACCATGACTCCCGGTCGTGGTGATCGCCGGCCAGCTCGGCCCCACAGCCCTCCTCATCAGGGAATGGAAAATCAAAGAAAACTCAGGCCTCACAGAGGCTTCCCTTCAGCCTCAATCTGCAGGCACACTCCCCTAGTTCTCTTTCCCTTAGCCAGGGTTAAACGAACAAAACAACCAAAAGAAATGCTACCCGCCCAGCATCTCTCTATCTGCTAAGCAGTCTACTCTGAGCCCTCCACAGCTCCCTTCTGGCTCGTCCCGGACCGATCACTTCCAACGGTCCCGCCACCTGCTCAATACTCTTATTTGCCTGGTGGCGATGCCCGCCCCAACTGTACCCTCTTGGGGCTCCCCTGGGGTCTCTCTTCCCTGGCAAGGCTGTCTCCGTGCCCCGTCGTTCTGGCACCCCACCTGTGGGTCGCTTCGCTCCCTGGTATCCTTCCTGCCGTGTCCTCAGGTGCCGTGCCTCTAGCCCCAGCATCATCCGGGGCAGTCTCCAGCCGGGAGGTCTGGTTCTGCTCCGTCCACACCTCCGCCGGCTCTTCTGGCTCTGCGTTGTTTGCAGCCGCTGCTCCTCTCACTGTTGGTGATGGTTGCTGCTCCTTGCCTGAGCTATCTGTCCCCTCCGCAGCTGCAGCCGCCATTTTTATCACTGCCGGCCTGCATTTGTCCGTGATGTCGTCAGCTGGTTGTAATTGAATAAAAAGGCAGCTAACGAGCTGCGCGGACTCTTCCCTCCACCTCGTGCATGTCTCGTCTGGAGCTACAGGTGAGTCCCGTTTACTGCTTTGCTTCCCGGGACAGGCAGGATTCCTTCCCTGGTGGTGTCAGATGGCAGGGAGGTGTAGAAATCTTTCTTGTTGTTCAGCAATGAATTTTCCCTGAGCCTGAGGAAGGGCTTGTGCCTGAAAGCTTGCAGAAAAAGATAATTTTTTTTGTGTGTGTGATTTCTTAGTTGGGCCTAATAAAAAGTATCATCTCTGAACCATGAGCTCTAGAGTTTTGCATTTCTATTCATCTTGTATTGCGTTTGCGCTGGTATAAATCAATTGACTTCAGTAGTACCACTTGTGATTTACTCCAGTATAAATACTCTTCCAAGGCATACTGGCTTCTTGCTGTTCCCTAATAAGGGCTGTATCAAATGGTCTGTATTAAAAGCCAAATTGTTGATTAGATAGAGGCTTACTCTTTGAGCACTGACTATAAGTCAAGTAAATAATCTTGGTGAAATGACAAAGGCCAATACGATCTTAAGAGTATGCACTTTTACAGGAAAACCATGCATATGCTGCTGAGCATGGAGGCCTGAAAGATCTAAATATTAGAATAGTTTCTTACAAGATTTAAAGGTACTGTGCCAAAACATAATCTTTTAATTAAACTTAGCATGTCTGAGATTCCTACTGGCTGTGGCCTTCGTGTTGAAAATTGACCTCTTCTGTGACATCTGCGACTGGATGGGATGTCAGTGTTGCTCTTGGCTGTATGTTAGAGGTCATCGTGCTATCAAAACATGGCATCGTTTTTTCCAATACATTTTCTGATGAGCACCAACTTGGAAATGAAGCGGGGGAGAAAACTGACGGCAGCTTTCAAAGCTTCTGGTGTTACTTGCTCATAGGAGACCAGTGTTTGTTTATTTTATCTTTGCACAGAAGTCAGAGTGCAAACAAATATCCCTATAGAGGCAGGGTAAACTTGAGCTTTCCTGGGTAATAGCTTTGCTTCTGGTTGGCCTGCTTAGAGAGCCCTTTGGTATTATCCAGTCTCATTTGTCAGACTTTTATTTTTATTTCCCTTGCTACAAAAGGCAACAAATATTTTCTTTCTCAGTTATTTTTTTTGATGCTTAAAAAAAATCCTATCAGTAAAACGTAATAAGGAGGGTGAAAGATCAGGCCATAGACCTGTGCCCTGGTTCATGGTAGGGGAATTTAGTCTACAGCCCAATCTGTGAAATGCCAAGAACCCTGTGGTGTCAGTAGGGTTGAGGATGCTCAGTACTTTGCTGAATCAGACTATTAGGCCTAGACCAAAGGTGTCAAATGTATATATTGTGGGCCTGTGGAGCCATATGATCCAGCCCATGGGTCTTGGACTGACCCCACATGTGGTAGAGGCAGTCAGTCTGGCTTGTACCGCATGCAATGCCTGTGCAAGACCAGCTTTGCATGCTGGCTCCAAGGCTAGTTCAGATTAGGCTGTGCCAGAGCCATCGTGCAGGGCCAGTCGAGTGGAGGGCCACATGCAGCATGTGCCCTGTGCTGGCCCTCAGTACCACTTTCAGCTCTTGTGGTCAGTTGAGCCTCCTACACTGCATGCAAGCATATGCTAGTCTTAGAGTTTGGTGCCCACTCAATGCCAGCACGGTGTGCGTGCTGCATACAGCATGGGAGGTCCAGGGTGCAGACTGAATGCAGCACCCTGTTGAACCAGTGCCGTGCTTTTGCTCTGGTGCCCACAGATGACCTGGGGCCCTATCTGGACCAGTCCCAGAGCACTGCATTTGGGAATATGGTACACTCTTTGTTTTCTGGAACAAAGCTGAGCACGCTTTCTGGTAGGTACCTGGTAAATTTACCAGATTTAACTATAGTTCAGACCCCAATTTTTCTTTAGTGGCCAACTACACTTCATACTAGAAATAAGAGTCCAATATTTAGAGGGTGGAATAAATGGAGCTCCACTGAAACAGTTTTCATCACTGAATCCAGAAAGCCATGATTTTTAAATGGTCAAATATTGAAACCTTGCCACCTAGATTTAATTTTATTTCATCCCCAGGGTAAAAATACTGTTAAAATAAACCAAAGTACCCTTGCTGTCATCTGTATTATAGGCAGGTAGGAGTGTAAATAGTAACATCTGTATTTCATCAGACTAAGGCTTCTGATAGAGGCACTATGGAATCTGATGTGCGATCCAAACAGTCACACTTCCTGTCATGCCATACTGCCACTATGTTGCCAGTAGGGATGCACAAAGTAGGCATCTATTCGATTTTGGATTTGGCCCTAATCACCGATTTGATTCGAATCGCTGTCCCTGATTTGATGCAGCTGACTCTGAATCTGAAGATTCAGTGCTGATTCAGAGAATCAGCGATTCAAACATAGACACAGCTTTAAAAAAATTTTCTACGTACCTTGTGGTACCAGTGCATCTTGTGAATGCTGCATTGCTGGAATATGTGGAGCGTCCCACAGGATTGCGGGGGCCCTCCATGTGCTTGGCGGCGAACCTGAAAGGGGACCAAAAGTAATTCCGGTCCGCTTCTGGGTCTGCTGGGGAGCTTGCCAGAGGCTCCCCCTTGTTCCCCCCCTAGCTCGGCAGTTGGCTGCAGGGGGACCCTAGGTGTCCCCCTCCAGACCCAGGAGGCACCAGTTACCAAGCACGAGGCACCAGTTGCCAGAATCAATTTGGAGGGTTCCAATTTGATTTGGAGAGATTAAAGGGTCTTCTGATTCGATTAGGAGATTCACCCACCGAATCGGGCTGAATCTCTGCTGAATCAAACCTTCACACAGCCCTAATTGCCAGTGCTGGGGGGAACCCAGGATCATGAGCCCCCTGCACTGGCAAGTAGGAAGCTTGGCTCCCCTGTGCTCCCATGGCAGAGTCCTGGACAGCTGATCAGGAGAACATATGGAATCCTTGGTATGCAGAGCCCTGATCAGCTGATGGATGTGCCCAGCCAGGGAAGTGCATGGGAGCTGAGGACTCTGATGAGCTCCCTTAGCGGGGAGCCCTGATCAGCTGACTAGGTCTCCCAGCCTCTGGGGCACACAGGAGTCTTATAGGGTTCCTGTGTGCTCCAGAGGTTGGGAGCATTGGCCACACGTTCAATTAAAGGTGTGATAGGAACCAGCCACAAAGTTATTGCCCGTTACACAAAATGTGTAATAGCTTTGTGGGATATTAACCATTTCATCAGGCCATTAGTTGAATGAATAGGTGAACTCACTACTTAAGACATAATTAACCAGTTAATCATGTTTTAAGTGTAATGTGTGTTAGGGACCTAGGGAAAGCAGATTTATGTACAGTTGTCAGTTGTATGTAGTTCTGTTTCCAGTGCCCATCAGACTGTAGGAAGCAATTACTGATGAATTCTGCAATATCTTTAAGGTGTATCCAGTAAGATTAGCAACGTATCACATAGGCAAAAACAGACTCACTTTGGAAGAGTTCAAATGGAATAAACAAAAAAAAAAAAAAAAAAAAAAA